GGGTTACAGATGTGTTGGTTAGGGTGTGTCGGCCATGCTGGAATGCAGGGTGAAGTGTTGGGCTGATGGTGGGAGTGTGCGGTGTGGGTGTGATGTTCTTCGGAGGGTCGGTGCAGATTCAGTGGGCTGAATGGCCTGCTCCCTCGCTGCGGGGACCCTCCGAAAAGTTGAGCGTTCGCCTCGGGGCGTGCAGAACGCCCGCCAAGATTGGTCGCTGGATCGTCCTGTCAAGTCTGACCCGTGCTGTCCTCTCTCCCTGTGTTTCTGTGCCTCCCTCCCTCCCAATGCTGCTGCCCCCCGCCAGGTCATCCTCAAGTCGGAGCCGGTGCACTCGTTCGGGCTGGCTGTCTACGGTGATTATATCTTCTGGACCGACTGGGTGCGCCGAGCGGTGCTGAGGGCCGACAAGTACACAGGCGGGAACTTGCGCGTGCTCCGGGCCGACATTCCCCAGCAACCTATGGGCATCATCGCTGTGGCTAACGACACCAACAACTGTGAGTGGCGCGAGGGGAGGGGAGGGGTGGGCGCTCAGTAGGGATTAACCCCCGTTCCCCCCTCCACCCCCACACACACATCCCCACTGCGTGCGGCGATCCCTCGGCCCTGAGGTGGAATGCGTGCTACAGTCTCTGTGAGTTGCTGAGATTGACAGCACCGATGCACGGTGCCATCCCCGCACCGAGGTGAGGGTGCACCAGACTCCTCCTACCCCCACAACCCCACCTCACATATTCGCCCTGCTCGCTGCGGTGGGGAGTCACGTCACCGCTGTCCACACGAAGTCGGATCGGATTGTTTGGTGAGAGTCCTACAGTGAGCCTGTTCAGCCGTCCCACCCACCCACCCCGAAAATCCCATCCCCCTCCTTGAGCCTATCACGCAGGAACAGCAGGAGGCCATTCGGCCCGCAAGCCTTCACCCTAAGTCCTTCCAGTGGGCACAGGAGCCTCACCGATTGCGGGACAGACGGGGGTGGGGGTGTGGGGAGCGGAGCGGTGGGTGTGGTGTGGTGTGAGCGAGGTGGGTCGGTCTCAGCGATGCTGGTTTGCGATGGTATTGAGAGCGTGCGAGGGAGTGAGCATTCTAACCTCGGAGTCCAACGTTTGTCTACTGTTCTGTCTCTCATTTGCTGCACACATCCCAGTGGCGTTACAACACAGTGCTCCTGGAGCATTGTTCAACACGTGCATGCTAATCATTGCTGTCCATCAGGTATGTGAGAGAGTATGTGTGCGCGTTTCTGTGTGTCTGTGTGCGTGTTTGCATTTCAAAACCACTCCTCCAGCTCTACCTCCGAAACCGTCCACCGGGACCCCTCTCTGTCTCCGTCACCTTCCTGCAGCCCCTTTCCCTATCTACATCACCACCTCCTCCATCCCTCCCCTACACCCCCTCCCCTACACCCCATCCCCCATCGCCCCCCACACCCCCTCCCTATCTCCGTCACCTCCTCCACCCCCCCTACACCCCCTCCCTATCTCCGTCACCCCCTCCATCCCCCTACACCCCCTCCCTATCTCTGTCACCCCCTCCATCCCCCTACACCCCCTCCCTATCTCCGTCACC